ATAGAAGAAAAAATGAGGAGAAGGGTAGTGGATAGATCAAGGCAACTGGAGATGTCGATTGACATTACATTTGAATAGCTGGAGATTATAGCTCTCAGGGAAACTAGAATAGGGAAGGGAGTTCTACAGGCGAGAGGTGCGAGACATGAAGCTATTGGAGTAGAAGAGACGGCTACATTTAGGAGTTTCAACAGTAAAGGGGTAAGAGCGTGATGCCAGCCTCGTAGGGCGCTTCAATTCACGGAGTCTGGGAACCAGTGAATGCAACACCTCGGAGCAATTGCCATGAAAGTATTTGTAAAACAGACAGAGAGAGGCGACGGCGCGTCTGTGAGAAAGTGTCTTTAGACGAGATGCCAGATCAGGGCAAATTATATTGCATATTCGCCTCTGGAGCCTATCAAGAACCACGAGGGAAACAGAAGAGGCTCCAGACCATATATGGCAGCAATACTCTATGCAAGGGCGAACTGTTGATTTGTAGATCTGGAGGATCGATTCCAGGGAGAAAAATTTCCTGGCGCGGCTCAGGGAGCCAACTTTCCTTGCGGTAGACGAAGTAATTGGCTCAATGTATTTGTTCCATCTCAGGTCAGCCGTCAACGTGAGACCGAGCAGCCGCAGAGAGGTGCACTCGAGCAGTTGAGCGTCAGACATTCTAATGGAGGGCGGGAAAGGATCTCTGTGGTGATTATGACCGATGAGACAGTAGGTTGCCATCATAGAGAAGATAAGGATTTATACTTTTCCAAAGGGTATTAGCACGTAAGTGAATGTATTCGACTGAGCCGCTATCCATTACTCCACCGAACTTACGATGGAAAATAAACTTTCAATTAATTATAATATATTCACAATTATATTCTATATTAATTTTATTTGCAAAGTATTTGTGTTTAGAAATAATTTACAAATAGAAATAAACCAATTCTTGGAAGGTTACTGATTCTTTTGAAAATTATATCAGATGCGTAGTCTATTATGTGCATTGTCAGCATTTCGTACTTTTCACTTCAATTTCGGAATGTTACGATACCTTTCTTACCTGTCACTTTTCATTTCATTTCTTATTTTTCAATTAGAAAATAAATTAGGAAATTAGTTTTGCTTAATTAAGCTTGAGCAAAAGTATTTTTCTGAGAAAGAAAACGTCACAATTAACACGTTCCATAGATTTAATTGAAGTTCAGAGAATTTCACTTTTTACTTTTCACCTTTGTCATTTTGCGTGAATGTTAACGTTTTTTTTTTTTTATGCATCTTCTCGAATTCATTTGAAATATTCTGTTATACCTATTTAAAAATGTCGGACTATGTATAGTGATTTTACAAGCATAGCGTAGATGCGGCCCAAGGCCGAAAGTATAGGCACCCAGTGAGAATCGAACTCACTACTCAGTCGTAATTGTTCTAGAGAGAAAAGCTTGCAACCATTAAACCGCTTGAAGTGTCCGATATATATATATATATATATATATATATATATATATATATATATATATATATATATATATATATATATATATATATATATATATATATATATATATATATATATATATATAAATATATATATATATATATATATATATATATATATATAAAAGAAAAGTAAGATATATAATCCAGTGTTCTTATAGATATTTTTTATTTTTACAAAAATAGTGCCTGATGTAAATTTACAGAGCATTAATATTATAAATTAATTGATTTAAAATATATTTTTCCGCTACACAGTTCTAACTATGTTTCAAAAAAAAAAATGAAGTTAAAAGCCACGAATTTAATTTTTGCAATTAAATTAAAGATATTAGTTCCATTTCATCCTCTAGCGAATTTTGGAGTAACTTTTAAAATTACTGGGTTTTAAAGACACAGCTAAAATCCTGTTCCATGGTTACAGATAAATCTACTTCAACTGGACAAGGGGTGTCTGGGTTTTTCCTTATGTCTGCATCATTGTATCGGTTATTAGCTAAAAACATTTTGAAGGGGTAGGGATGTTTTTTTGCCAATGAAAACTGACATCTGTTGAATGCATGTCGTCTGGATTTTTTTAATTTATTGTTAACGGCAAAAAATTCTTATTAGGTTACATTTTTTTTTTTTTATTTGTAAATTTAAAGATTTTTACTTAATGTTCAGATTAGAATACTTTTTTTATTTAAACTACGATTTGAAATATTCTTATTTTTAATTTTTTATTATACTATATTTTTATAAGAACAGTTAAATGTATTAGAATCCCTTGTAGTATGTTTAGGATTATTTTACATCAAGTATAAGTATGTATATTAGGTTACATTTTTTATTTTATTTTATTTTATTTTTTATATTATTTAAGTAAAATTTATGACAAAAATGACGTCAAAAAACTATTTACTTAATTTCACTAGAAAATGCTTGACTATTAATGCGAGGAATTTATGGCCTAATTTGTTCTTTTTACCATTTGGTTGTATAACTACAGGAGTATTTAAAATATTTTCACCAAATAATTTTTTTTCTACATCTGTTTTTTTTTATATAATAGCTTTTCATTTTCATTTTTTATATAAGTTAGTTTTAGTTCTTGTAGCCAATTAACTCTCATTTTAGAACCTTATTTTAGGAATTAATATGCTCATCGAAAATCTTTGTCATTTGCTGAATTTGTACTAATTCGTTTAACGGTATATGTTTATATTATAGATGTGGGTATGATTTGATTTAGGTTTTTGTATATATAAAGGATTTTTATTTTTGGTTTTTTTTGCTTTTGGCAGGTGTGTATGTATTATTATTTAGATCTAATGTTATATCAAGGAAGTTCAGTTTTTTTATTTTAGTTTACTAACCGTAATTTTTTAATGCGAGGAATTTATGGCCCATTTGTTTTTAAATTTTTTATATAACTTTTTTTCTAATTTTTATCTATTTTGAAGTTTTATATAAGTTGAGTTTTTAATAACAACCTAATAGTCCATCGTCTATTTACAAACCAATGTCATTTATATTAATATCATAGGGTGTGCTGTATAGGTTGTATTTTTTATATAAAAAAGACCAATGAGATCAGAAGACTTTTTTAATTGAGTCTAGTGATCCCATTATGATGTCAAATTGGTCGTAAGAATTCTTAACCCATTTATAGAGAGAAACCACACACACACACACACACACACACACACACACACACACACACACACACACACACACACACACACACACACACATATATATATATATATATATATATATATATATATATATATATTAAAAAAAGAAGAGAGAAACCACAAACTTTTTTTTAATGTAATGTGGATTTATTTTAAAATAAATTATGCATTATCTTTCATTATTTTACTACACGAGTTTCCGGTCCCGCGATCTTCAGCGGGCAAAGATGACCATTTCCACATATTATTAAAAGGAATTAATGTTTTTCATATTTTACGATGTTAAATATTCTCAATATTCGACATTCTTTTTTTGTGTGTGTTAGTGATCCAAATGTCTTCTTTGTAGTTAAAATGTTCTTCTACGTAAAGTGTAATAAAACAATTAAAATTGGTCCGAGAAAGGGAGATTAAAGATTTCTGTATTCTCATCTTTTAATAACACCTGTGTGTTCTTAGATCTATTTCCATTTTTTTTTTTTTGTCAGCATGTGTATGTTTACCTATATTCCATCTTCATACATACATACATACATACATACATACTGTCTTATTATAAGGAATTAGTATACACATACACACACACACACAGAAACAAATTTTGACATCAGCAGCCTATATAGCAACATACCCGATGAATTAGGTATAAAGGCAATCTCATTCTTGATTGTAAAACATCTAGAAACTCTACATTCTAGATTCACTAAGTAATTCACTATGAATAGTATAGACATTATTCTAAATAATAACACTTTTAAATTGGAAAACAAAAACTATACTCAAACCCTAGGTATCGCAATGGGAACTAAAATAGCACCAACATATGCCACCGTAACATTAGCTTACCTAGAGGAAAACCTCTATGAAAAGATGGAACAAATATATAGGGAAAAATATAAAAAAACACTTCACTAAATCTTGGAAACTGTTTTCTTTTTGAATTTGTAGGTCTGATGGATTGGATCGTGATTATGATTCCATTGTAATAAATTATAAACATGGATTATTAGTGATTAAGCCTTTCATATTATATTTTTGCTCTGTCTTGTACATTGAGCTCTACCTGGATTTCATCCTCTCATATATCTATATCTATATCTATATCTATCTATCTATCTATCTATCTATATATATATATATATATATATATATATATATATATATGTATATTGAAAATATATATATGTATATTGACCACTGATATTATAAGTCTTTCTCTCGCTCTCTCTTTCTCCCTCCCTCACTCTCTCTCTATCTCTATATCTCTCTCTCTCTCTCTCTCTCTATATATATATATATATATATATATATATATGCGCGTATTCATATAAAAGTTTTACATACTATTCAAAGAAAGTGCATTGCCATCGAAGAGTAAGCCTTGGATATAACCTCATATAATTCGATACGTGATGGCGTTTGTGACTCCGGAATATCGGACATTTTTCTTGTGAAGTCAGTTAGTCCGTTATCATCCTATTTCGAGGTGGGGAGTGGGAAAAGATGACATAAAGAAAGATCTACACACCCCAAATCCACCCCAAGTGTGTAATATCGAAATGTGGAGATAAAGGTTTTTTTTACTATTATTTTCCTTTTTTTTTTCATTATCTGTTTAGTCTGCCCAAACCCGTCACCGATGGAAGATTTTCTGTAACCCAATCTCCAACTTCTACCGGGAAGAAACAAAATGAAATCTCGAATTGGAAATGGTTGGGAAATAGATAACATCATCGATATAAGATTTGCATTTTCTTTCACTTCCGAATATATCTTCTCCACCTCTCGTGTGTGTCTTTTTTTTTCCATCGTGTGTCTGTTACCGCTTTGCTGTTCAATGCAATGTTCGCTTTATTCGTAAGTCGATTTCAATTTTCTGCGTTTAGCTCCAGGCTGGGATTCTTTTTTTTTTTTTTTTTTTTTTCGCAAAGATTTCCTGTTTTAAGCGCTTCCACCTTTCATTCCTTGGCCATTTCTTTTTCCGTGATTTTCTTCATTCATTTTCTTTTTTTTTTTCTTTCCTCTGTTGTTTTTCATTTTCTTCTTTCCTTCCCATCTTCCTTTCTGTTTCTTCCCGTATTTTCCTTCTTTCGTTCCTTTTTTTTTTCTTTTTGCTTGAAATCTTGCATTTTCCCCTGCCCATTCGTCTACTCGTTCAAGCATTCTTCATTGTATTTCTTTTCTTTTTCCATCTTCGTAGGATTTTTCAATTATTCTTTTCTTCTTTCTCTCTTTCGTTTTATCTTTTCTTCTTTTCTTATTTCTTTTTTACGATATTCTCTTTCCTTTACTTCACTTAATCTTTTTCTTTCTTTTCTCTTTTCTACGTATTTCTTTTCTTTTCATTTCTTTCTTCTTCATTTTGCTTAATTCATTTTTAATCTTTTCCTTTCTTTCATGTCTTTTATTTTTATTCCTTTCTTTCTTCATTAGATTTTTCTTTTCTTCTTTCCTTCATTCTTTTTTTCTTCGCTACATGTTTACATAGTCCTTTCTTTTACATTGGTTTAGTTCTTCATTTCTATTTTCTTTCGTTTCTTTTCTTCGTTTTCTTTCATTCTTTTAACGTCTCCCTCTTCTTCCTTTTGTTAAATATTTTCTTTTTTCTTTGATTTATTTTGTCTTAATTCACTAATCTACTTTTCACCCTTTGTGGTTCCTGCATGCAAAAAAAATAACCGATTCTATTCTCGTGATTTTATATTTTATAACATATATTCCCGCTAAAACTTCCCGCCTTTTTCCAAAAGCAACTTAATCGCTCTCGGCGCTGGCAAATCATTTAGCCTGTTCTTAACAGAAATGCTCGTTCGAATGACAATTATTGCTTAGCTTCTCTTTGTTAGTTAAAAATACTGAGTTGCTTAGAGGGAAAAGGAAGAAAACAAATAAAAGAAATGCGCAAGAAAGAGTGTGGAAGGAAATTATTGGAGCAATGTCCAATTTTAGAAACAATTTTTATTCCGGAATTAATGCATTTAAACAGTGTTTAAATCATTCAGAATAAGAACCCAGAAAATTTATATATTTCTACCAACAAGTTACAGGGTTATTTATGCCTTTACGATGGAACTGTAAAGGTCTAACGCCAAGAAATCATTGAATGCAGATTCTCCATCTTCACTGCAACAGAATGTCTTTTGCATTAAAAAAATGTCAAGATGCCTGGAAAAATGGTAGACAGTGGGCGAGAGATACGGGGATTTTGTTGGATGCGGCAAAGTCTCATATCCCAAATCGTGGAGCTTCAGCAGTGGCTGTCTATATGAGATATTATAATTATTTAAATTCTTTATATTATATGAACTGTTTCCTCATCTTCATTGCCATATTCACACCGTTTCGGCCGTTGTACGCTCCGGCCTTTATGTCTATGTCTCTCTATATATCAGTCTATATCTCTTAGATGAGGTATTATGATTACTTGTATTATTTACATTATTCGAACTGTTATCCTCGTCTTCATTGATATATTCACAAAGTTTCGGCCGTTGTACGCTCCGGCCTTTATGTCTATGTATCTCTATATATCTGTCTATATGTCTGAGATGATGTAATGGATTATTAGAAGTCGGTCATCATCCTTTTTACTTGTATCTCTTTAACTTGATTCTGGTACAAATCGACCGAGATGAACAAAAAAAAAAAATACGACACACAACAAAATGGGAAAAATCCAAAGATTTTTTCTTTATACTCCATAAAATGAATTTTATGGCCCACAATAAAATAAAAGATATCTTAAGTAGTTCTTTATTTTTGTTTTGTTTTACGGCATATCAAAATCAATGGGCTCTTTAACCCTTTAAGTCCTGCGTTCCTGAACAATTTTAATCCTTCTACCTGAGGCCCCGAGTCAAAATTTACAAATAATTGATATGTAATATTTCACGGTAGATATAGTTACAAGTGTTTACCCACCGATAACCGGTAGCTGGACATTAAGTCATTTTTCTCTACCACTGTTCAACCGGTGGCTGGATATTAAGTCATTTTCCCTACCACTGTTCAACCGGTGGCTGGATATTATGTCATTTTTCTCTACCACTCTTCAACTGGTGGCGGGGCATTACGTCATTTTTCTCTACCACCGGTAAAGCGTTGGTCAGGTATCAAAGGCTTAATGCCGACAAGATTTTTATTGCTGGTGATATTTCTTCCAAATATGTATTGCTGGTAATATTTTTATTTTTCAACAATATACTGTTGGTAAAAATTCTTCCAAAAAAAATTGCTGGTATTAAAACCTATTTTTATACTTTCATTGTGTTTTGACCCTTTTTGTGGGGTTAACTATTTGCCCATAGCTGGGAGCCTAACAGGGAGTGTCTGGGTGGACCTGGAAACACAAACAAATAAGAGGTGGTTCCATGCTCCTCAAAATATCCTGATCAAAGGCCTTGCTGTCGGATGTAGTTCATCGACTTACCCAGGACGCGGATGTAGTTTATCGTCTTACCCAGGATGCGGATGTAGTTTATCGTCTTACCCATGACACGGATTTAGTTTATCGTTTTACCCGGGACGCGGATGTAGTTTATCGTTTTACCCAGGATTCGGATGTAGTTTATCGTCTTACCCAGGATGAGGATATAGTTTATCGTCTTACCCAGGACACGGATGTAGTTTATCGTCTTACCCAGGACGCGGATGTATACTCAGGACGGTCTTAATTAGGGATTTCTAAATTGTAAATTTAGAAAAAAGCGTAATCTAAACTATTTACAAATTTACCTTTATAAAAAAAATATACACATTTAAAAAAATAAAAATCACTTTTAAAATAAATATTATTTTCTCGAACTGTATAAAGAACAGATCATTCTTTAGTGATATTATGATTGGTTTGTTTTTTTGTTTTTTTTACGGCATATCATCCACAATGGTTTATTTAATGTAATGTAGTAAAAAATTGTTTTCCAAAAAGTGTATTGCTGACAATATTTTTCTTTTTTTCAAAAATGTACTGCTGGTAATAATTTTGAAAAAAAATGTATTTCTCTTTTAAAACCTATTTTTATACTTTCATAGTTTTTTCACCGCTTTGGTCGGGGGTAACTATTTACCCATAGCTGGGACCCTGACAGGTGCTACCACTCCGGGCCAAGGTGATCCTGGGAACATCAGCAATTAAGAGGTGGTTCCATGCTCCTAAAAACCTCCTGATCGAACTCATTGCTGTTGGATTTAGTTTATCGTCTTAACTAGGACGCGGGTATGCATTATCATTATAGTCAGGACGGCCTTAAGTAGGAATTTCTAAATTGTAAATTTAGAAAAAAAGCGTAATCTAAAACATTTACAAATTTATTTTTACAATAGGAATAACATTACATTTATAAAATATATACACATTTAAAGAAATAAAAATAATTTTGAATGAGAAATATTCTTAGAAATATTTTATTGACACAAAATTGCTAAATAGATTTTCACATCATGTGGAATAAGAAATTTTTATTGAAAATAAAGTTTAATGAAAAGAAAAAAAACATGCGCGTTAAGTGTACTTTTTTAACTTATATAAAATGAATGTGTTTGAATAAAATAGAAGCTCATTTGGAGCAATAGGTTACTTCGTCGGAACATTGATAAAAAATAATGATCTTCAAATATAAATGGGCGATAACATCGAATAAGTCGCTTTCTTGAAAATCGAAAATAAATGCTTACAAAAGGAAAAACAGTTGAAGTAGTAAAGAAATCGTTTTATTTTGCCCAGAAATAAATCCATTTAAATACAAATTGAAGTTTGTCTGAGATAAACTAGTTTCCTTCTTGCAGCATACGCAAAAAAAAAGCATTGAAATACATATGGAAGATCATGTGGAATAAGAAATTATCTTCGAGATTATGAACTAATCTAAAGTAAACCCGGTTATATGATGAGTCGGGATTAAAAAGGTTGCGTTACGACTTGCAAATAAGAAAGAGTCTGCAATAATTTAGTTAGGGCGAACATAGAGGTATATATATATATATATATATATATATATATATATATATATATATATATACATACGGATTTACAGTTTTTTTTCTTAAAGAGTTTTTACTATTACAGTAACTCTGTTTGCTTAACAATGAACATATTTTATTTTAAATGCCCGTACGTTATACCATGTATTATTATTATATTGTTGCGTTACTGTCAGTATACTAATAATATATATATATATATATATATATATATATATATATATATATATATATATATATATATGGCTATTGGCTCTAAGAACTGGGCTACTTGACCCTCCTAACTCGAAAAAACGATGGGAGATCCCAATATATATATATATATATATATATATATATATATATATATATATATATGTATATAAGAACATTGAAGTCAACGCTTACAGGCGAAGGCTGTTTCATGCTAGACGCAATCGTCAGTCCTGAATATATATATATATATATATATATATATATATATATATGTGTGTGTGTGTGTGTGTGTGTGTGTGTGTGTACTTGGGAAAAACTTCATACCACTGAAGTTGGCCGAAGAAGATTAATATGAACAGCTTCAGAAAACGGAAATTGTTAACCGAACGAGCCTTGTGCAAAAGACGAAACGTATCGTCAAAATATTTCAAATCGCCAACGCGATATTTATGTTTTTGAAAGCTGTTCCCATCGTCCGACTTTGTGCAATCGGAAGAAGAAGGGTGAACCGGGAGTACAACTTTATTTTCTGTTTAAATACTAACTATGACTTTATTTAGATAGATTCATGGTTTCAGAAATAATTTTATTTTAGTCATCGCTTTTAATTTACCCCCATGTACTTTTTTTTAAACTTCGCCATTTCTGTTTATCTTTGTGTATGTTTGAGTTTTTGTTAAAATGAATCTTTCTGATGAAGTGTTGGTCGAAAAAATTTCCCTTTCAAAAGAATGCGCTCCATCATTTTTGAAACAATATGTATATATTTTTTTTAAAACAACATATATATATATATATATATATATATATATATATATATATATTCATACACGTTTCATTAAATAATATAGACAAGTGTTGTCTATTTATTTTATGTAAACTCTTTTCATAACGTCTAATAAGTTTAATAACATTATAATTGAACGAAGAAAGAAATTCACAATATTGATCCATATTTTTTTTAATACAATCTAAGCTTTCGGCTTACATAAGCCATTATCAAAGATGTCAATTACCACATATTAAGCAACACACAGAGAAGACAGTGATGACAGTCTGTGAATGTTTACATAGTTGATCTCTAAGCAACGAAAAACACGTGCGTATAAGACGCTAGAAGCGAGAATCGCACTGCATCTCATGACTTCACACATAACCACGCGAGAGTGAATTGGAGAAGTATGAAGTATGGAAAACCGTTGGCACACACCAACACAGAAAAATATAACAATGAACACCTCGAATATGGCTAATGAATTGGACGTAAACGTTAGCAACAAAAATCATTAACAACAGAATGATTAAATAATCGAGATACTATACAGCATCCATGACTTGAAGATTTATATAAAATTTGAAAACGACAGTCACAATTCGGTGTTGAACACTGTTTCCACATTGCAAGCACGTTCACCCTATATATATATATTGTTGTCTATCATTAATATATATATATATATATATATATATATATATATATATATATATATATATATATATATATATATATAATAGTTCGTGCCAGAAAAAAAAATTAAACTTTAAATTAGCTTTCTCAGTTTATGTATAGATATATGGATAATTATTACATATACACATAGATAGCTATTTGAAATAAATATTTTATACATTTTAAAATGAATATACATGTTCTATACATTTTAAAATGAACATGCATATTGATATATATATATATATATATATATATATATATATATTGATATATATTGATATATGTATATACATAGTGATATATATATATATATATATATATATTATATATATATATATATTGATATATATATATATATTGATATATATATATATTGATATAAACATGTATCTTGCATTATTCTATTAATAAGGGAAGATATTTTTCAAATATTTCTTCGCCTCAGTAAACTAAAAGCATTCCATTAGTTTTCCATTTAACGTTACTGGCTTCCGCCGGCAAAATTCAAACTGATTCTTACTTTGAATAAACGACCTAAATTTAATTAAAAGAAAGTAACAGATTCACATTAAAAGTAAAAAAAATGAGAAGTAAATTAACCGAGACAAAAAAATAGGAGAATATTTAAACAAAATAACATGTCAATCTTTTTCTTCTATGTACATCTGTTTGTCTGTCTGTCTGTCTTTTATATATATATATATATATATATATATATATATATATATATATATATATATATATATATATTTTATATATATATGAAAAAAAAATATTGAGAACTAAATTAACCGAGACAAAAAGGAGAATATTTAAACAAAATAACATGTCAATCTGTTTCTTCTATGTACATCTGTTTGTCTGTCTGTTTGTCTGCCACTTTTATATATATATATATATATATATATATATATATATATGCTCCTGAAAAATTTATTTCGGTTGAGCTCTCTCGGGAGGAAGTGTGGGTTTGTAAACAGTGACTATTACGGCTAATAATTGCAAGACTCTTCGGTAAATCGAACTGAGTTCTCTCGGTCACCGTGTGTTTATCTAAAAATAAATACACTTAAATTCACCTTCATCCATGCCGTGCGCCAACGGCTTAGTGGTAGAATCCCCGACTGATTTCAGTCGGGTTTCGATCCTAGCTAGAGGCAACCGGATGTCTAGTCACACTGATGAGCTGTGATACAGCGAAACACTCTGTCTGTGGATGACTATATATATATATATATATATATATATATGTGTGTGTGAAGAAAAATATGAAAAAAACAAAAATCCGAATATGCAAGTATATGCAAGTTTCAGTGTCGACGTCAGACGTTTCGGTCTAGTAGACCTTCTTCAGGACATAGTTATTAATACTAATACATAATTAAAATTAGACGATATTCAAGTCCACATGAAAAGACGATAGACACAAGACTAATCGAAACAGAATAACTGAAATTTTTAAGATATCGTCTAATTTTAATAATATTTTAATAACTATGTCCTGAAGCAGGTCTACTAGAACGAAACGTCTTTCCATATTTTTCTTCATATTGTCGGATCTATGTCCACATATTTGCTTACATATATATATATATATATATATATATATATATATATATATATATATATATATATAGGGTGCGATGGATAAATGAAAACAACAATGATATCTCATTTTAATAGATATATTTACCAAAATCCCACAAAAGCATCTTGAAATACTAAAGAGTAAATTTGTCCAATAAAATCTCCATTGGCTTTAAACTTAGACGCCAAACGACTTTGAAATCTCCTGCATCTCTTCTGGGCGGTCTCCTCGTTTCAACTAGTGAATGCTGCTATAATACATGCCTTCAGTTCATCTTTGGTATCAAATGCCTCCCACATGGGGTTGCAGTCTGGCGGGTTTAGGTTTCCAGATGTAAGGGCTGATCGCAGAAATTAGTTGACAGGCATGACAGGGTTTTCTTGCTTGTATGACATGGTGCGGAGTCATAGACATTGCCAGACATAAGGTCTTTCAGCTGCCACCTCTTTGACCTAGGGCACCAAAACCTTCCTAAGGCACTTAAGCCTCCATATTAAGTCTGGGGCTCTATGGGAAGATGAATGGAGGCATAACGTGACCATCACGTGTCGTCACTCCAAGCACCATCCTGTTGACTAGATATATGATCCAAAACTTTTCGAATCCTCTGAACTGTTTTCTGACTGACGCCCAAAAACTCTGAAATTTTCGTATTGGAGCTTCCGGTGCGAATGCCAAGCAATACAGCAAGCCGTTTCCAAATATTTGGCGTGAATTTTCTCATGGTGCACTTTTTCTCACTGAGGGTGTCCAACTGATCCTGCGATACGCTGCAATCAACATAAATAAAAAACAAACAACGAGAATGCACGAAAATAAAAATATAAAATGGCGACAATTTTCCCATCGCTCACCATATATATATATATATATATATATATATATATATATATATATATATGTATATATATGTGTGTGTGTGTGTGTGTGTGTGTGTAAGCAAATATATGGATATAGATCCGACAGTATGAAGAAAATATACTGAAAAAATAGGTCCTGAAGATTGTCTATTAGACCGAAACGTCCGACGTTGACATTAAACATTAAAACAGCATAATCGCATATTAGGAGTTTTGTTTTGTTTTTTCAGTATATTTTCTTCATATATATATATATATATATATATATATATATATATATATATATATATATATATGAATGTAATCCGACTTTCACGCTCAAGCGATCTCCAAACGACTTGTCCGTTCAAGACGTCTGACGGTTGCGTGGGCGTGAAACACGTGTTACGACAAGGGCCATCTTTAATAGGATTTAACGTGGTTAAGCGGTTTTTGCTCTGTCTAGACAATCTCGGCTTCAAGCATTTTACTTTAACGATTAGGTAAGTTTGTCTTAGGCCTGTTTTCTATAATTCTATACTCATATCCCTATCTATTCAACTGATCTCTCTCTCTCTCTCTCTCTCTCTCTACACATATATATATATATATATATATATATATATATATATATATATATATATATATATATATTAGTATGTTAATATTTATTTTGTTTTTTTTATATACCATTCTCCCGTTATCAGTCTTACACTATTTAGCTGTGGAGGCGCCGTGTTAAAAGTTTTCTAAAAATAGAATGATGCCCACATAAACTGGCTGCTCATAGCACGTGACCGCCAAAAGGCATACAGCCACAGCAAAACTACTATCAAGAAGCCATGCACATAAATTCACCATCCAAAACATCATCCTTGATATTTTCTAGAGAAGTATTCGATAGTGCTCGGAACAGTTATAAATATGGATATGTCTATATTCTTTAACCTTTGAAAAACGAGAAAATGTTAGAATGCTGGAGAAACTTAATAAAAGATTAATTACATTGAATGTGTTAAAAATAAATAATAGCTGACCGTAAACTTGAATAGGTTAATATTATAGTAATCAAGGTTAAACCTTCTCGGGAGTTTCTCAGGAATAAGCTGTTTGAATGAAACGTTTTAAATTCCCGATTGAATAAGAGGAGAATGAGATTAGTTTGTTCCGGTGTATACCGCATATGGGGTTCCAACTGTAGGTGTGCTGAACTGATGGTAGTTGGGAAATTGTGATAGGTCTGGGATTAACTTGTGACGATTTCTTTGTAATAAAGGGGTTCAACAGTCGAAAATAATTCCCCCGGACAAGGCCACGTAAGCGCTTTTCAACTCTGTGAGGGCTAGGCAAATTCAGGCCAAATATAGCAACAATACGCCTTTTTGTGTCTGATCTTATTTTGATAGAGAGACGAGGCAGGACGTCATATCTGTTGTTAATGATTTTTGACTATCATCTGTTCCCCAACATGAAACACTTGTCTAGAAACTAGTATTACAGTGATGGTAACGTCATATCTGTTGTTGGTAATTTCTTTGGCCAACGGGACGAATTGTCTTCAAACAGTGAGATGTCAGTCTACCTGGAAAGAAACAATGCAGTTATTAATAAGATGAGTTGAAATTAAAGAGTTGAAAGATTTAACAGCTCTGGTATCACTCGTTCGTAATCACCCACATAGATAAGAAGGTTGACCCTAAGTGTGATTCAAACTGTCACGCCCAAGAAACACCTCTTGAATTCCTAGCCTGTTTAATGAGCAACATATTATGTTACTACAGGTAAAATCGTGCCTGTTTCCATTATATAAACGTTTACTTGCTATCTTAACATAAAGGCTCATGGGATTTCAAACTGGATTTTTTTCAAATTACTAAACTAATCCTAATTTTAGTTTTATTTTTCTTTCTTTTTGTTCGTTATTTATCGTTTCCACACTGTGTCGTATCTTTTCACCTAAATTCCCATCTGATCAAGCAGTCTTTCCCATTTCCATCGACTTCACTTCCCCTCTTTTTCTCTTTGTCCTATTTCCTTTCATTCCTCTCTTTCCTCCTCCTTTCTCTTTTTTTATTCTCCGGGCTTTTACTTCCACTCATATTGTTTCTCTCTCCTCTCTGTTTTTCACTCCGTTCAAATTTTCTCCTCTTACACTTCCTCCTTTGCTCAAGTTTTTCTCCTTCTATCACTCTTTCGCACTCATATCCCTCTCTTATCATCCCTCTCTCATGCTTACTTTCCTTCTTTTTACATTTACGATTACTTTTTTTTTATTTTCCATCTGCATTTTAAATGTTTTAAATTAAAATAATAAAAACATATTTTGTTAATTTTTCGCATGTAAACATATTTTTTAAATACACTGTATTTTATTCTAAAAATAAAAAAAAATATTTCCAATTTTCAAAATATTAGCAGACTTGTCATCTGCTAATTTAATTTTTTTTATCGCAGAGATGTATTTAACGGTGATTCTCACTAGATCCGGCATTGTCATACCCGTTCACTGATTAAACATTTGAGCCCTGACCACTGCTTTAACGGTGGAAGAGAAAAATGATATAAAGCCCAGCCACCGGTTGAACAGTGATAGAGAAAAATGACTTAATGTCCAGTTGAACGGCGAGTAAACACTTGTAACATTGTTTTTTTATCTACCATGAAAGATTACCAATTACTTGTGAATTTTGACTGAGGAACTCAAGCAGAAGGATTAAAATCGTTCAGGAACGTAGGGCTTAAAGGTTTAATGCTGTCTTGCCAGATCTTATGTTGCTGCACCCAAATTCCCCTGCCTTCGATAGTCTTCTTGCATGACGGTCTTGTTCATGCCGTGTGACATCTGCAAAACCGTGACATCTCCCGTCGCTTAATAGTAGCGAGGAGAGATTCCTGTTAATCCACAAGACTTTTGACCTTGCTCCGTACATAGTCATTGGCTTTTCCTGGACACTTCCTCCAGTGATTTTCAAGATAAGAGTCATCAACTCAGTCAGTCTATGAAAGAGATTTTAATATTACAACAAAATTATTATAATATCATTAATAGGAGTTTTCAATATCGCCATCATCATCATCATCATCATCATCATCATCATTCCGATGACTGCTTTGATCGCCGGGGTAACTTAAGTGCAAACGAAACAGACAATATCCTCCAAGATGATCTGTACCCTGGCGGTCTTGCAGAGGCCTGGTGACGTGGCCAAACTATGTCATCTTCCGACGATTAACAGCAGCGAGAAGAGATTCTTTTTGGCTCATGAGACTTTTTGACGGTACACCGGTTCATAGTCATTGGTTTTGTGCTCCCAGTGGGAGATACGGAGCAGTTTCCTCAACTAGAAGTGTCCAAGTCTCACACCCATAGAGCAGAATGGATACAAAAAGCGATTTTGTATAGTTTGTACTTCGTCTTGGAAGCTGATATAACTCTCCCCTATCCTTTCCAGTTTGGCTATCTCTGCGGTGACTGTGACGATCAATGTGAGGATTTCTGCGTTATATGTGACATCTTTGCTCCCAAGTATTTGATGATGGGCATTTCCTTCTGTGGTTTGCCTTTGATGGTGACGCTGTCACCGGTGTTGGTTATTTAAAATGAAGTTTTGAGAAGAAAAGTAACAAGGAAACATGCATTCAATGGGAAAGTGACAGCTGAATTTTCACGTAATGAGTAACGATGGCTTGGAGAATTTAATCCTCACGGGATAGTTTGAAAGTAAGCGAAGCTGGAGAAAATGGCAGGAAACCTCCATCATGAATTTATGTGAATGGATTAGCAGTTGCAGGACTTTCAGACCCTGGATCACCTTCAAGACACTTCCTTCCTCTCAAAAATTCAGATGACCATTTTTGCACTGCTGATAAAGCTGGGGCGTTACCCTTAATATAACAACTATGACAGCATGAACGTTCTTTTGCAGCTAACACCACGGTGCCAACATTTTTAAGAGAAGTCGCTACTAGTTACGTTTGGAGTCTTTTTGAACAGTTAGATGTCATCACTCCTTCACAGTCAGCCTATGGAATGTTCAGTCCACCTTCGTATATATATATATATATATATATATATATATATATATATATATTGAACAATAAAAAAATATTAAAAAATTAAAAAAATAAAATCTTCAGACACTCTGGGTTGGAGATTAATATTCTTTCGTTTTTTTTTTATTATTATTTCATTTAGATTCCTCGACTAGTTTCGGCCAAAATGGCCATCATCTGTAGAAGAAATATGAACTTTTGTCTGTAGTTTTCATTTGTTTTGTTTTTTTCATTTTTTTAACTTTTTAACATGAATCTTTTAACATTCCTTGTGTTGGTCAAGCAGTCTCTTTTAAGTTGTTATTTGAGATAAGAGCTGGATGGATCTATGCTTCTCTGAATTCCCTTGGTCAGTTTGACAGTTTTATTGGTCCTGGAGAGGGGATATGTCTCTGTTTAGTGTTTGTGTGTGTGTTATTTGGTTTTTAAGGAGTGAGTGAGTATGATATGTGTAAGCGTGTGTATTGCTGTGGGTGTGTGTTATCATTTGGCTCATTAGGGGAGTGAGTGAGTATGATGTGTGTAAGTGTGTATATTCATTGTGGGGTATATATATATATATATATATATATATATATATATATATTAGATTATTATGTTTATACATTCTTGTTATAGATACAAATATTTAAGTAAATGCTCTGTTTATAATAAACAGTATTAACGACATTTTACCGGCCTGAATGTAGAAAAATATTCGTCCTCCGACAGGAATGGAATCTGTATCCTATACGGAGCTGACATATAGCCTGATGTGCTTTTATCAATTGAGCCGGCAAATGTCGTTAATACTGTTTATTATAAACAGAGCATTTACTTAAATATTTGTATCTATAAAAAGAAAGTATAAACATAAAAAATGTCTTAAAATAATTGTCGGACTTTGTCCATTTCATAATGTGTGACGTCATTTGTTTGCATTTGGATACGCATCGAGCAGATATGAATGTACGAGAGAAACTCATGGAGAATTGTAGTTTAAAAATATTAAAATCGACCGAAACGCTCTTTTGTGACGAAATCGGTAAAAACACGTCAGGCTATATGAAAACTTCTCGGTCTTTCAGGCCGGTAAATGTCGTTAATACTGTTTATTATAATTACTGACCGAACAATACTGTTCATACTGTGAACTGTATGAATGACGTCTAAAAATAGTTTTAAACATTTCATATAAAGGCCATTAGATTTTTGGTTCGAAATAGTATTCTTAGCAAATTTTGAACAAATTCTATGATATAAATTTTAATAACAGAAAAAAAAAAACTTAATTTTACTTCCACTTATTTTACTAACAATGGGGAGCTTTAGTTTAGTTTATTCTGTTTTACGGCATATCAACACCTCAATGGGTTATTTAATGCTGACAAGATTTTTACAATAGATATTTATGAATAGAATATGTATTCTTTGTAAGAATGTGTGTAGATCAAGTTTCATTGATGTATTTTTGGTTTGGTTTATTTTGTTTTACGGCATATCAACACCTCAATATGTTATTTAATGCCGACAAGATTTTAAGGTTAGTTTCGTATGTATAGAATACGTATTCTTTGTAAGAAAGCAATTTGTATATCAGATTTGATTGACGTATTTTTTTAAAGATGTTTTTTGTCGAGAGTTAATATATTGCTGGTATTATTTTTTTTTCAAAATGTATTGCTGGTAATATTTTTCAACAATGTAGTGCTGGTATTTTAACTATCAGAATCTATTTTTATACTTTCATAGTGTTTTGACCCAGTTAGAATGTTTACTATTTGCACATAGCTGGGAATCTAAAAAAAAAACTACCAACTCGGGTCAGGACGGAGTTGGAAACATCAGCAATTAAAACGTGGTTCATTCTCCCCTAACCCTAAGCGACAACAGCCCTTGCTGCCGGATGTAGTTTATCGTCATACACAGGACATAATATGAAGCTTTAAATATATGATAAAATTCATAAATTTACTTATACACCATAGAACTGAGGCACTCTTACGTGGTGTAATGATAGGCAAGCTTATGACTGAATAGTGAGTTCGATCTTTACTGGGTACCCCATACTGTCGGCGGTTTGTCACGTCTAATCTACACACAGAAAATCACCATAAGATTGGCAACTGGTCTCATCTAATGTATGTACCTTATGCCATTCGTCTTGGTGTAATGGTAGAAAAGCTTATGACTGAGTAGTGAGTTCGATCCTCACTGGGTACACCATACTGTCGACTTTGTCTCACATCTAAGCTACGGTAAGAAAATCACCATATGATTGGCAACTGGTTTCATATAATGTATGTACATTATGCACTTAGTCTTGGAATAATGGTAGGAAAGCTTATAACTGAGTAGTGAGTTCGAACCTCACTGGGTACACCGTACTCTCGGCTTTGTGTCACATCTAAGCTATGCTTAGAAAATCACCATACGATTGGGAACTGGCCTCATCTATTGTATGTACATTATGCACTTCATCTTGTTGGAATGATAGGGAAGCTTATGACTGAGTAGTGAGATCAATCCTCACAGGGTACCCTATACTGTTGGCTTTTTGTCACATCTAAGCTACGCTTATAAAATCACCATACGATTGACAACTGTCCTCATATATTGTATGTACCTTATGCAGTTAGTCTTGGTGTAATGATAGGGAAGCTTATGACTGAGTAGTGAGTTCGAACCTCACTGGCTTTTTTGTCACATCTAAGCTACACATACTGTTGGTCTTCTAATGTCATGCAGTTCGTCTTGGTGGAATGATTAAGCTGAAAAATCAATCCTCATAGGGTATTATATTGTCGGCTTTGGTCACATCTAAGTTAAGCTTAAAAAATCACCATACGATTGGCAATTGGTCTCATCTAATAGGTATGTACATTATGCACTTCGTCTTATTGCAATGGTTAGCAAGCTTTTCTCGCCCGATCAAATTATTTCTGATTTGTGTGTTCGATCTTTATTAGACTCTCCTTGTTTTCGTTCTTGTGCCACATCCAGTTTTCCCTTAGTAAATTACTTTCATGCTAAAACATGTGAAAAGTCCTGTAAAATGTGTCCGTTAATAACTGCCTTCTCCGTCTTTTACGCACATTGGGCTGTCAGCAATCCCCACAATTCATTGTATTTAATTTTGGAGCGCCGAAAAGCACGATCTATTTCATTTGTAATAAACTGTAGAAACTTAACTGTTACTGTCCAACCTGAACAGTGATTTTCCATATAGCGACACATTTAAGACACTAATCTTAACCAGCCACAAAAATGAAAA